GTGAACTGAGGCGTTAGACTCCATGGTTTCTAAGGTCCCTTCAGGCTCTAATGTGGCTTCCTGATCCTGAAGCCCAGCACTTGCTTTTTTGAGTGAAAACAGGGTGAGAGGGTGCTTTTTTTGTCTTTTGCTGCCCTTTCTTAGAAAAGGAGAATGAAGCATTATCGGGGCAGGATCATTTCTCCAAATATATTTATTAAAAAATTCTATAGCCTATTTTCAAGTGGTATTCTGGGCTTCAAGGAAATAATTTTCACTGTTGCTGTGCTGTGATTTGTAAGCACTATCAAACTCCTCTGTCTGTTAACACTCTAATTTTTCTTTATAATTTCACAACGGACCACAAATATTTTCTCGTAAGGTTAAACCCATCCTTCTAGCCCACTCGTACTTTTGTTCATGGGGTATGAAGGAGCTTTCCCCAGCCAATTCCTAAGACCTGTAACCGGGTGTTTGAGGGAACATTGAAAGGGGAATATTTAATCCAAAGTTTACCAAGTTCTTCATCAAGAGAAGATAACCCTTTACCATGATATAAGGACTCTGTTCCCCTGGAGGGAGGGAGAAGAGAAGGGGGCCAGGGTGCAGTTCCTTCCCCCCCTTAATGTTTATTTTGAGCATAATTCTAGATACAAGCAACACTTAAAAACTAGACCTTGGATAGCTAGAAATTAGAAATTGCTAATGTCAGACCTTAAAGTCTTTTAAGAGCTAGGATCATGCCATATTTATATTAGTACTTCCCCAAACACTGAACGTGATGGGTGGTACGGATTTGGCCCTTCATTCAACAAAAAAATTATGAAATGTCCCTTTTCTAATAACATTTCATATTCTGGGCAGTATCTCAGTGGGGAGGTAGTTGCTGGATGAGTTCTGTAATTGTCCACCAGTAGAAGAGTTTTTTACTGCTTTCCAGCTGCTTAGATTAGGAAAACAGTTCTGAAAAAGACCTTTCCTTGAAGTGACAGAACCAGTTAGACAGCATTTCTTTGTCCTTGTATTAGCTTGTGCTTCATAAACAACATGGAAATGTGTGATATTTTTGAAAATTCTAGAATATTTTCCAATTGCCAAAGGGGTGTAGGGTGTGTGTGTGTGTGTGTGTGTGTTTAAAAATCCATTTGTAGTATTCAGAAAGCCAACTCAGTCTCATTCTACTCAAACCTGTGGGAGGTAGATAACTTGAATTTCTTTAACCATTTGAAGTTTGCAAAATTGCTTTGCTTACAACCTTGTGTGGTTAGTAATATTATCCCCATTAGGAAACTGAATTTTGGGGATATTTTTCTGTAGTCTGGGTAGGGGCTAAAGTGTAGGATTGAGGCCAAGTCCTCTGACATGAAGCCCCAGCCTTCTGCCCACTCCGTCACACTACATCCCATTTACAGCCAACCCTGGCAAATGCATTTATTCGTTGAAATCTCCGCAGTAGAATGTATTGAGTCAGAGATGGGGCGCAGATATCTTTAGAATGAAAGCTTCTTAACACAGAGAATGGTCTTGGTTTAGTTTAGGTAAGGACATTCTGGATGCCGTTCCACAGCTTTAACACTGAGCCCAGCTAAGCAAGAAGGGGGTCAGTGACCCAGGATTGTCCACCTCTTTGGCAGTTTTCAGATCTCTTTCCAGTTTTCTGCATGTGCTATTTTTTTCTTGTAAGGTTTGCAGTCTTGCTGACAGAATCTTTCATAGGTGTTTCTGCTATGAAATTAGTGCAGTCTAGTTTGCATCTTGCATCCATGCAATTGTGAAGGCTTCATTACTGGAGAGGTTTATGGTTTAGCTCGTCACTGTACTGTGTGGGTATGGATTAGTCTGCCTTTCCCATGGCACATTGTTGTCTTCTCGGGGAGTTGTATTTAGCATTCCATTTTCTTTCCATGATGGTTGTCTTCTCATTACTTCCCAGCTCCCAACCCTGGTTCCCAGCCTCCTTTGGTCTTTGTAAAATACCTTGCCCTTTACTTGGGTACTATATTCCTCGAGCCTCCCTCACAGGACCATCTTCTCATTTCACAATCTCTTTTTATCCCAGTATTACTTCCAACAACCCTTGTCTTTTGTGGACAGATCACTTGGCTAGGCCCCAAGCACTCACTATACAAAGTTTAGAGAAAAGTGTCCTATGTTCTTTCCCAGACTAATCTCACTTGGCCTTCTTCAGGATCATACTCTACCCATAATTTCTTTTCTAAGAGGCCTTTTAAATCTTTTCTGGCTTCTTGGCTAAACTAACAGGCTGGGGCTTCTTATTCCTAAAACACCTCCCTAGATTCTGCTTATCTCTTTGCATTATTGTTTCTGTTTCTCTCCTCCCCTTTACTATTTAACATCTGAATGTAGTTGGTCAATAAACATTTATTAAGTGCCTGTGACGTGCCAGGCACTGTGCTGAGTGCTGGAGATACAAAGAAAGCCCCCCACCTCCACCCACCAAGAGGGCCCCTGTCCTCAGGGGAGTTCCCAGTCTAATGAAAGAGATACCATGAAAACACCTTGGTACAAACAATAAATTGGACCTAATGAACACAAGGAAGATACTGGCCTGTTAAGGAGGGTCAGGAAAAGCTTCTTGTAGAAAATGAGATTTTAACTGGAAGTCTGGGGAAGCCAGGGGTGGAGATGAGAAAGAGAATTCTAATCCGAAGGAGAAAGCTAGGAAAAATGCCAGCAGTCGGAAGATGGAATATCTTGTGGGAGGTTAGTGTCACTTGATTGAAGAGAGTATGTCAGGTCTAGGTAGGGGTGGGGGGGAGGGAGGGGGACTGACACAAGGCTATGAAGGACTTTGAATGCCAAATAGAGCATTTTCTGGAGTTTGGGGTGGGGGAGGAATGGCATGACCAGACCCGCACTTCAGGAAAATCACTTTAGTGACTGAATGGAGGAGACTGAAATGGGGAAAGATTTAGGGCAAGCAGACCCTACCTGCCCCCACCTTCCTCCCCAGATGAGGTGATAAGGGCCTAGACCAGGGCAGGACAGTGTCAGAGGAGGGAAGAGGGCCTATTGGACAGATGTTACAGAGGTACAAGCTGCCAGAGGTAATGCAGAGGCAACAGCCTGGAGAGAGGGAGGAGTCCAGGATGAGCCCTAGGTTGGTGGTGCTCCCTACAGGAATAGGGGAAGGGCAGGGAGGGGGGTGGTTAGGGTTAGAAGTCAAGTTTGTACTTAGTGAGTTCAAGATATCCATGTCTCTCTGCATTTCTTCCTTATCCACTAACTCATTAGCGCCATCACTGTCACTGCTGACACTGCCCTCTAAAGGGCATTAGGAGGAGACTCCTCAGCTCTGCTATTCCCTTGGTAACTTCAGTGATTTTCTACAGGTATTTGACATGGGGCAGCTTTGCTGGGCTATCATCTCTATCCATCCTTTAACTAAGGCTTCGTCCATTGCCCTTTTCGCCTGGCTGCTCTCCCACATGAGAAACTCATCAGATCCCACGGATTGAAGTATCTGTGCAGATAACTTGTAGGTCTGTGTATCTAGCCATAGCCTCTCTTGATCCTGGAACGTGGATGCTTCTTAAACATTGGTGAACTGATTAATCAGAAGAAAAGTCTAGAGAAGCCGAGATTGTTTTCTAATTTTTAGTATCCCAACAGTAGTCAATAAGCCTTTATTAAGAGCCTGGTGTGTGCCAGGTACCATGCTAAGGCTGAGGATAAAAATATGAAAAAGAAACGCATTCCCTGGCCTCAAGGAGCTTACAGTCCGATGGGGAAAGAGAACACCAAAAAGGGAGCTGAAAGGGGGCAGATAGGAGGACGGTGGAGGAGCCAGCCAGCGGGAAGTGAGGAGCTGTCTGAACAGGACCAGATCCTGGACAGGACCTTTCAACTCTGAAGTTCTCTGCACCTCTCCAGGCTACATTTTTTCTCCTCTTTAGGAAGGGCAAGGAGCTATGATCAGATGCTTTTTTCAAGGTCTAAATTGCTATTCTGTATGGATTTTTTTGGTGATATATAGAGTATGAGGATTTGATTATTTAATCTTGTTTTGCTTTAGTAAATAAATCTCTAAGATTGTTAACTTCTTGAGTGTACTGGTATTTGTGTCACTCTCTGGTCTCAGCCCCATGCCCAGACCCATTCAGAACAAAACTATCTGGTATTTTTTGTTGAATGAATGGCGCTCATTAAAGATGAAGAAAATCACCTTAAAAAGGAGAGAGCTTACATTTTTCCTCTTTGCTTCAGTTTCTTTACCTGTAAAATGATGGAGTGGGAGTACTAAGTGATCTAGAATCTTTTTTAGTGCTGAAATTCTTTGATTCTTATCTGACATATCAGCCAGGTAACTTTCTCAGCCATCTGTAACTTGCCAAAGAGTTACCTACTCTATTATCTCTGTTATCTACTATACAAGTATAGGATAGAGCAAAATAAATGCTAGTCTTTCTTACAAGGTTATGGTAAATAAGTCTGAGGATTTTTCATTTTTAAGATACAATACAAACCTTTTGAAAGGAAAATACTCACTGGAAGAATTTTATAAAATTATTATGTGTCTTGGCTGCAGACTCATTCGCAGATCTGTCTTAAAGTGCAAAATTTAATGTAGTCTTGTGAAATGAAAAAAATTATTGGCTGGTTCTCATGGAATTTCCCTGTTAATAAACTGAGATAAATGAATAGGTTTGCTATCCCATTCCCCCACCCCCAAGAGCTGGAGACTAACAGGGTTCTTGACTCTTTTTATGTCCTGGACCCCTTTAGTGCTGTCAGTCTGATAAAGACTATGGACCCCTTCTGAGAACATGGTTTTTAAATGCATAAAATAAAACATAGGATTACAAAGGAAACCAATTATAATAAAATAGTTATTTTTAAAAAAAGAAACAACACAAGTTCATGGACCCCAGATTAAGAACTCCTGATTAGATAGATGCATTTTCCACCTTCATTGAGCATAAAGATTGGTGCTCTTGTGTTCAGCTGTTTGATACTTTGATGAAAAGAAAATAATGTGCCTTTTTCCCTTCTTTCTCTAGGTTTAACTATAGATCAACACATCATCTTGCATCCCATGGGTTCTATGAATTTTTAAATTGGTTTGATGAAAGAGCATGGTATCCACTAGGAAGAATAGTAGGTGGGACTGTAAGTATATAAGATAAATTTGTGTTAATTTTATAAATTAGTAATTAATTATTTTGTTAAATCTGTCTTTTGGGAGAGTATGGATACTTGAGGGTTGTTTGCATCGTAAATATTGATTTTTTTAAATGATATAATTTGTTGATTGTATTAGCCTTATATTCCTGTGTTTTGATTTGCTTCTCTTGCCTTCTTTTGGGTTTTTGTGTTACTTCCTAATATTTCTAGTATGATATAGTTGAAGAAGATACATATAGTGGGAATTGGTATATGTCTGTGTCTTACTGGATAGCAGCTTTCCTGAACAACTAATTGGAAGGAAGCAGATGTGACATTTTAAAATTTTTGTTCTTTATTACTGTAATTGAGAATGGACCACTCAAGATCAGTTGTCTGTTATTCAGAGTTAGTATGTAAGAGTAGGAAGGGAAATGTTGTAGCTCCAGTTTACCTAGATTTTAACTGATCTTTTAGCAGAGTCAAGTGTTTCATGTTCTTCTTGGGGAAACACTGGAGAGGTGTGATAACATGTGGCCCTGCAGCAACGTCTGAAGAGGGCTGTGGGCTGCAAGTGCACCATCAGCCATCTGGGGGTGGTGCCTAAGAGGACTCAAATGAGCCCTTCCCCAGCAGGCTGGCCTGGTTCAGCATTCGCTGCTAGAGAAAGGGGAGAACTGACTGGCAGGAGCGAGTTCAGAAAGAGATAGAAGGGTTCTAGGAAGCCCAGTTCTACCCATTAGGAAAGTGGCTGGCCAGAGTTTGGAGCAGTGCAGTGTGAGGCTAACTAGCTGAGACTGGGAGGAGGGAAACCATACCAGTGGTGTCAGAAGACCTGGGACTTTCAAGCCTTTTTTAATGAAAGGACCAGAGCTGGATAGGAGCTTTGAAATAAGAGCACCAAAGTTGAAAAAAAACCTAGAAAAGTAGATTTGGAAGGGGATGTGTGATTATATAGTGGTACTTACTAACATTTTAATGGGGTGAAAAGAAACAGACATCTCTGCAGAACTTTTTTGTCTCCAAAGGGTAATGGGGAGGTTAATGAGAAAAATAGAACTGCCAGGAGATGGGCTGGTTCTGTTTGGAGAGTTTCAAGGAACAGAAAGAGAAGTGAAGGTAAAAGGAATACACTGATGTAGAAAGAAAGAAGAGAGTGGGCATCACTGTGTCTCACTATTGAGGTTCAAGTAAAGAGTGTACACACATGAAGAAACAGTTGTGTAGAGAGAGTGGGCATTGGATGGATGCGATTCGAAGTGGTTGGAGGAGGGTGAACCCCATAAGCCATTGGGGTAGAATACATGGAACTCAACAGGTAAGTAAGTGAGGCCAGAGTGGATGAAGAGCAAAATAAAACCCCTTCCTGATCATGAAGGGAAGATGAAGGGAGCGCTGGGGAGTGAGGGGATACCTTAAGTTGTCTCCTGGGGACGCCTGGGGAACAGCTGAACAGACTGTGGTCTGTAAGCGTCATGCAGAGTCTTACACCATTAGAAGTAACCAAAGCCAAGTTCAGAGAATCCTGGGGAGTATTTATGCTGGGACAGCCACAATGTAAAGATGAATGACTGGGCTAGTCATGTCTCCGGAGCACCTCTGGTGGAGCGTGCTGCCTTCCTCCTGACAGAGGGGCACAGACTTTTTGGGCTTAGTAGCCCCTGTGCAAATTCATTTTGCTTGGCTTTGCTGCTTCATTACTAGGGTGTTTTGTTTTGGATAGAAATGGAAGGGTTACCAGTAGGCATGTTGCCCTAGCATTAACAGGAGAGGTTCAGAAGGAAGCATTGATAAGCATGACAACTTTGAAAAAGAATTTGTGTAATTTGACATATTTTAAAAAATTAAAAACAAAACCAAAAAACTCTGAGGTAACACAAGCTGGACCTGGAGTCAGGAAGACCTGAGCTCAAATCCAGCGTCATGCACTTTCTAGCTGTTTGACCCTGGGCAAATTCACTTAACCTCTGTTGCCCTCAGTTTCCTTAGCTCTAAAATTGAGATAATAATAGTACTACTTCCCTGACTTTTTGTGAAGATAAAATGAGATAATAATTGTGAAGTGTTGTATAAACCTTAAAGCATTATAGAAATGTTAACTATTACTAATTTTAAAAACCATCTTGTATAGAATGGAGGTTTGTGATTCATACACAATCCTCTTTGTGTTTTGCTGTGTATATGAAAATACTTTCTTAAAATTCAAAACAATAAAATAAAAATACAATAATAGGAAAGGAATACATTTGTATGTAGTTTAGTATTTTTGTTTTTTACTATTCACTTTTTTAAAGCAGTTTTATTACTTAAATATTGACTTAATTGGACTTTTTTCCTTCCTAGGTCTACCCAGGGTTGATGGTGACAGCTGGCCTTATACATTGGATTTTAAATATGCTGAATATAACTGTTCACATAAGAGATGTGTGTGTGTTCCTAGCACCAATTTTTAGCGGCCTTACATCTATTTCTACTTTCCTGCTCACCAGAGAACTGTGGAACCAAGGAGCAGGGCTTTTAGCGGCCTGCTTCATTGCAATTGTGCCAGGCTACATCTCTCGTTCAGTAGCTGGATCCTTTGATAATGAAGGCATAGCCATTTTTGCTCTGCAGTTCACATACTACTTATGGGTAAGTAGTCGCTGATGCTTTGTTTTTGCCCACAAGCCCTATCTCCTTTTTCTGTCAACCTAGTTATTGATGAATGCCCGGGGGAGAAGTGGCCGTGTTGGTGCCGTTGGGCTCCACCTGCACTGTTGTCTTACCTGGTAAAAGTCCACGAGGAAGTGTCTGGAATTCGGTGGGCGCTGCTTTGAACCTGGGACTCGGGATACCAATTCCAGATCGTCTTCTTGAAACCAGCACTGCTGGTTTTGCTTTTAGCCTCGAACGGTTATTGAAGAGAAGGTGGTCTCTTAGGTTTTCTAGCGCTATGAGCAGTGCTGCTTGTCAGGATTATTTAGTAGTCGCTCTCCGTGGCATTTATTTAACTTTCCTCTATAGATTCTTTACATAAAGTGATCTGCATAAAATCCTTTTCAGAAATAGAAGTCTTTGTAAAAGACTTGTAGTTCTTGGTTTCAACACTTGTGTACCTGCACTAAAATATTTCCCTAGTTAACAATGAAAGATGACCAGTCTCCTGGTCATCCGCAGCCTTGGCACTGGCTATTCCCTATGCTAGGAATGTTCCCTCTCCTCACCTGAGGGCTGCCTTCATCAGGAAGCCTTTCCTTACCCCCTCTGCTGTGCATGTGCCTCAAGCATGCCGTGTAGACGTGTTGCTTTCCATGTAAACTCATTGAGGGCAGGCAGGGTTTGGCTTTTGTATTGACACAGTAGCTCAGTACCTCTCACATAGGTCATTAATCAAAACTTGGTGGTAATGCATCAGAAGTCTGGAGTTATCACAGAGCTCTGTAATTTCTGTTCAACACTTCCGCAAATTTTGTGAGAGTAAAACAAAACTTTTAGGTGTTAAATGAATAAGCACCCCCCCCCCAACACACACACACACAGAGTAGTTTTCAGTTTAGAATGTTATGTTATGGCTATTTGCATTATGTCTTTGAAGGTTCCACAGTTATTACCAGAGAGAACATGATGGTGATAGTAGACATTTTCTGAATCTAGATGTGGAAGAGGAATACTGTTCAAGGATATCACAGAAAATATTTTTCAGTTTATTCACATTGTTGGCTTCTTATATTTTACACATGTTGGGTAGACATAGAGTTAATATTCCCCTCCCTGTTGACCCAGAAATGCTGGTTTTGCTGTTGCCAACTGATACTGTCATCCAGGGGTGGAGAACCTGCAGCCTTAAGGACACATGTGGCCTTCTAGGTCCCTGGATGTGGCCTTTTAACTGAGTCCAGGTTTTACAGAACAAATCCTTTTATTAAGGGCATTTATTCTGTGAAGTTTGGATTCAGTCAAAGGGTCACAAGTGAGGACCTAGAGGGCCACATGTGGCCTTGAGGCTGCAGGTTCCCCACCCCGGCTTAGCAGTATTGAAATTGGAATTAAATTTTTCTTAATAGGTGTTCAAGAGCAGTACTTTTCTGGTGAGAGTGATTTGGTGGTTAAAAGTGCTTGTCTTTAGGGATAACCTGGTAGTTCTTTTCGGTCGCAACATCTTTGTTGTCACACATTTCTTAGTAATATAGATTGCCTGTCATATATACATTGCCTGTAATATAGATTGCCTAGGTCATTAGATGTAGTCTTTATCCATGCCTAGGTGATTCTGGGAGTTTTTTTAGTCAGTTCTGAAGTAATTGCAAGAGGTATCAGTTATGGTATTCAGAAGTGATGTGTTGAATACTCATAGAGCTTGGGAGTTTGTTTGAGAAACTTGTCTGTTAGGGGGCTGTAAGGGACAATGAATCCTTCTGTTCCTTGGTCACTGTTCCTTGGTCACTGCTAGGGAAAAATGGCCCCAGTCACACCAAGGCTGGTGGGCAGGGCATCCTCTATGGGAGGGGATCTTCTGGAGTTGGATACTTCCCCTCAGAACTTGAGCTTGGCTTCAGATTTTAGACCTAGGGGCTCACATGTAGTTGCACTATTTTGGTGTGCATTATATGAGTGTGAACACTACATTCACTCACACCTGGCAGTGACTGGATTAGTTACTCCTAAGAGTCAGCTTCAGATAGCCAGGTGTCATTGTCCCCCACTTCTCTAGGACTTTCTAGAGTGGTAAAACTTGTTCTTCTTTCAAACTGGACATGGTAAAATTTATAGGAGTTCTGCCCCCCCTTTGAGGGTTAGTCCATAAATTCCTGACAGATCCCAGGGGTGGCAATTTGGCACCCTCGTCCTTGTGGCTGAACACCTGAAACACTAGTTGGTGTGTGTACTAGAAGGTACATTCTGGGTGGAGCAAATAAGAAACAATTAGAAATATTTTTGAAATTAGAAGAAAAAAAAGGGCCGGGATTAATTCATTAATTGAGACTGTGTCTCCTTACCCAGCCCACTCTGGAAGTGCACTGGCTACTCCATTTTTCCCACCTGGGCCATTGTTCCCTTGGGCAACCTAATGGCCTGATTGTCTTTAGCCTCAGAGGAGCTCAGAAGGCCTGAGCTCAAGTGACCCCTGCCTCAGCCTTCCCAGAAGCTGGCGATTAGAAGATGAGTTCATTGAAGCAGCCAGCTGCTTGGTGGCAGACCCAGCCTCAGGCCTGCTCTTCCCGTTCTGGCAGGCAGCCTTTAGCTACTGCTTCAGACAGTGGGAAAAAATTGGGGAAAACTGGCTTCTTGAAGAAAATGTAGTACATGTATTTGAATAAGAACTGAGCACATTGGAGGCAGCTAGGTGGTACAGTAAATAGAGCACCAGCCCTGGAGTCAGGAGGACCTGAGTTCAAATCCAGCTGAGACACACAACACTCACTCACTAGTTGTGTGACTCTGGGTAAGTCACTTAACCCCAGTTGTCTCACCAAAAAAAAAAAAAAAACCACTGCTAGAAATTTCTTGGTCAAATGGTGATAGCTTAGATGTTCAAATCATAACAATCAGGTTTTTACTTGGGTGTTTTTAAGTACTAGTTGTTTTTTATTTTTAAAATGTATGCTCAGAAGGACAGATCTGCAGCCATTGATGTTTGTTTGTGGTGTAAGTTCTACTGTCTTGTCGTCATGTCTTTTCTAGAGAAAAGTACTAACCAGTTAATGCAAGTAACAAATTTGTATGGCCAAAGTTTAGGGCTTTGTGTTTAAGTGCAGTGACATGGAAATTATTTCGGCTTCCAAATGGTATTTCAGTGTCTGATCACCACCTCCTTTGTTGTATGTAAAAGTTCTTTGGGTTCTCTTAAATGTATATATAATCTCAGTATTCAATTATGGTGGCATCGGTACTAACCAAATAATTTAAACTGACTTGTCCAGCTTGTCTTTGCAGTAGTCTCTGTGATGGCGTTATACCATGTCTGTTCAATGAGGAGGAAAGAAATTAAAACAAACACAAAGTCATACGTGACTTTGTTCTATTGGACTTTGTTATCTTACAGCCAAGGAGATAGATTCTACTTGCTGGAAAGCATGTCCCTTCTTGTATTTAGTTAAGAGCTATGTTTAGAAGAGGTTGACTATTCTAGTGCCCTTAGTCACCATTTTGATCTCTCAGTTTTCTCTTTCGTTCTCAATCTCAGTTCTCCAAGCACCTCTGTGATCTTTGTATCTATTGGCTCTTGCTCTTCTGCCTGTAAACATGCATAGATATTATTGAATAGAACCTGCAGGTTGTCCTACTGTCCTCTCTTACATTTTTTCCTCCAGATTGGCTTTCTCTATTTCTTCACCACTTCTAACTGGTATTTCAAATTGTACCTTCTCTAAGTACACCAGTAGCCCCATAATGGCCAAAGACTTGATCCTCATACTCCTTGATTTCTTTTCCACTTTTGATTCTGTAGATGAATGTTCTAAAGTGTGGTCCAAGGATCCCTGTAAATCCATGAGATTCCTTTAAGGAGATCTGAGAGGTCAAAACTATTTGTCCAATATTTGGACAAATATTGAGATATTTCTAATATGATAAATATCAGTGACGTAACTCGCATAAACAAAAGCTCTTTGGGATTCTTGACTTTTGAAGAGGGTAGAAGATTGTTTTTAGACTAAAAAGTTTGAGAACCACTGCTATAAACCATCCCCTTTCTGAAATTCATGTTTCTTTTGGTACTGGATCCGTTTACTCTTAACTCCTCCAGAACTATGTACTTGGACATTTTTGAGTCTACAGTTGTCTCATCCATCTCCCTTTTCTCTTTTTATGTTACTATCCACTCTTAATGGCTTCAGCTGTCCCTTCTTTGGAGATACCAGTTCTGAAGTAGCTTTGATCTTTCTCCCAAGGGCCAGTTTTGCACATCTCATTGGCTACTAAGATTTCCTCCTTGAAACTCAACAAATGAAATCCTAATTCATCTTCAGAGCCAAAGCCAGTAACTACTCCTGATTTTCCTTCTCTTTATAGTATCCCCACTCAGGAATCATCCTTGACTAATGCCTCTGTTACTATTCACATTTAGTCATTTTACTGTGTCCCATAGCTTTCCTTTTTGCAGTGTCACTTACATTGACTTTTTTTTTTCTTTTAGCCTTACCACCCAAGCTAATTCCAACCCTTGTGTCACGTCTGATTGTGAGAGTATCCTACCTGGTTTCCTTTTCTATGTAGCTTCTAATCCATTCCATCATGCACAGTACTGAGTTTTAATCTTGGTAAAAGATCACTTTGGTCACATTACTTCCCAGCTCAGAAATCCTTCACAGCCCCTTCCAAGGAATTGAAGCTCCTTGACTTGGCATTCAGGATGCTCGATGACCCAACTTTTCAGCTGTTGCCTTACATGAGCTCTCCATTTGTATCAGATGGATTGAACCAGTGTTGCCCAGTATAGACAGTCTTTCGTTTCCTCAGGCTTTTGTCCATAATCTTCTCATGGCCTCACCACGTCTTACCCCTCCATCAAGACCCACCTTAAGTCCTTTTTGGAAGCTTTCCAACTTTATTCTTAGATTGGACTCAGCCAAAGCCTCCTGCCCAGTGATAACTGTGAACAGTGACCCTTTTGGGTCTCCTCATTGTAGTGGCTTTTCTATGTGAGCTTTGAT